TGAAACAATGGTTATCCTGGCCGGCAGCATCTCAGAACTCTGCAAGTTCATCTGCAAGTACTTGAACATTTAAGGTTTTTAGTATCGTTAGGTCTGGCTATTTGGTTCAGGTGCTAAGATAGGAACTTCAAATGTACCCATGTTTGAGAGCATACCGTCTTGAGAGTCCTCCAGGAAACAAATCCTGAAATGTAGATGTCTCTGTGTGTCACTGAGCCAATGTCTGCTGGACTTCTTCCTGTCAGGAGAAATGGTAGTTGTGTTAGAGCACTACATTCAGGCCAGTACTGGCAAAGGTGAAGCCGTGGTGCAAATGCAAAGTTTTTTGTTAAAACACGAAGCGTCACAATGTAAACTAACTGTAACATCCAGACTGTTGACATAAACTGTTGAAATAATTTCCCCCAGGGATCAATAAATTATTCTGATTCTGACTGCATTTGTAACCTTGGTATTTCATAATCCGGGTGCATCAGAATTTCTCTTTTCTGCCTGGAACTCGTCGACATTTGGGCCATCCGCTGCTCATCTTCATCACAACGTAGCAGACTTGGACTTCCAGCACCCTCCATACCTGGAAACATTACACACCCTATTTTACTATTTACCACCATATGTAAGTCTGAACATCATCTTTAGTGTTGCAGCCAAAACGTATTGTCCTTAGAGTCGTTCATTCACTCATTCCTCCTTTTTCTCAACATTTAAGAAAACAAGCTTTGACAGAAAACAAACCCGGCAGATGTGTGTGCTGCTGATCCTCTTTGTCTCCGGTCATGACCACCACCTCATGGATGTCCAGATCTGTGACAAGAGATTACTTTTGTCAGTCAGATCTGATCAGTTACTTCATGTATGGCCAAACACAATATTGCTATGAACAGCTGAAAGCAACATGTATTTTTAAAGAGCAGCTTTAAAGTTGGGATTTAGTCCTGTTTATCACTCAAATAACTGCAGACTGTGGAAAATCTGACATCCTAAATTCTTAAAACTGATAGAGCAGGCTTCATGTGAACTGTGAAAACTTCACCTTTATGTTTTATATGTAAGCTCATTTCCAACATTGAAAAATAAAAATTGCTGATCAGAGCCAAGTCCAAATTTCAAATCAGTATCTCAAAATTGCAAATAACTGTATATTATGAGTCAGTAAGTCAAAAATGTTTATAATCAACTCAAGTTTTGGGTTAATTAAAAATGTTGACAAGCCGACTTGAAAATGCAACTTACTTCTGAATAACTAGAAATTTCAGTTATATTCAATTCAATTTTATTTATTCAGTGTCAAATTACAACATTTGCCTCAAGGCGCTTTTTAATATATGAAAAAGACCCTACAATAATACATAGAAACCACAATAATCACACGCACTTTGGTGACAGTGGGGAGGGGAAAGCTGCAAGTTATTAAGTCAAAATTTAAGAAACACAAGTGAAAAGTTTGAGATTTAGTAGAATTAATTTTTCATTAGCTTCAGGGCTGCCCATGAAGTTAAAGGAACCCCAAAAGCGTTGATTGTCTCACATTATCCTGTGAAAGCTGACTAAACGCATGCCGACTTGTTAATCCATTTCTAAACAATTGTGCGGACATTTTCTTCTTGCACTGTGAAGTCACTATATTCACCAGCTAGCGAGGACATATTAAATGAGTCATTTTTAAATGAAGTTCGGAAAATCCGCCTCTGTCACTGACCTGTCCTCTCAAGCTTGACCCGAGGCTGCAGGAGCTCCAGCAGTCTCCTCTGCCGGTCGATCTCCTGCCTGAAGCCCGCAGCCTCCTCCTCATAGTCTGTTACAGTCCGCTCCACCACCGCTAAGATCTCCCGGGCGGCTGTGCTCAGTTTCTCAGTGATGATTCCTCTCAGTATGTCGCTCTTGGACATGTTAGCGACGCTGTCGGGGGACTCCGAGTTGCCGCTCTTCTCGAGATAAAACATGTGTGTGTTTTCACGGGTCCGTCTCAGAGGCGAACGATACTGACCGGACGGGGTTGTTATTGTGCTGTCGCAAAATGTGTCCGGGGAGAAACGTTATAAAGAAAGCAGACTGAAACACTGTATACACACATTTACTATAAAAAAAACAACCCGTCTGGAGCATAGACAGAATATATATAATAATAAATATATAATTAATATATATATATATAATAAATATAATGGAATATATATAAATAAATCATTCATGTAGCGAAAACATACAGGGAGTGCAGAATTATTAGGCAAGTTGTATTTTTGAGGAATAATTTTATTATTGAACAACAACCATGTTCTCAATGAACCCAAAAAACTCATTAATATCAAAGCTGAATGTTTTTGGAAGTAGTTTTTAGTTTGTTTTTAGTTTTAGCTATTTTAGGGGGATATCTGTGTGTGCAGGTGACTATTACTGTGCATAATTATTAGGCAACTTAACAAAAACAAATATATACCCATTTCAATTATTTATTTTTACCAGTGAAACCAATATAACATCTCCACATTCACAAATATACATTTCTGACATTCAAAAACAAAACAAAAACAAATCAGCGACCAATATAGCCACCTTTCTTTGCAAGGACACTCAAAAGCCTGCCATCCATGGATTCTGTCAGTGTTTTGATCTGTTCACCATCAACATTGCGTGCAGCAGCAACCACAGCCTCCCAGACACTGTTCAGAGAGGTGTACTGTTTTCCCTCCTTGTAAATCTCACATTTGATGATGGACCACAGGTTCTCAATGGGGTTCAGATCAGGTGAACAAGGAGGCCATGTCATTAGTTTTTCTTCTTTTATACCCTTTCTTGCCAGCCACGCTGTGGAGTACTTGGACGCGTGTGATGGAGCATTGTCCTGCATGAAAATCATGTTTTTCTTGAAGGATGCAGACTTCTTCCTGTACCACTGCTTGAAGAAGGTGTCTTCCAGAAACTGGCAGTAGGACTGGGAGTTGAGCTTGACTCCATCCTCAACCCGAAAAGGCCCCACAAGCTCATCTTTGATGATACCAGCCCAAACCAGTACTCCACCTCCACCTTGCTGGCGTCTGAGTCGGACTGGAGCTCTCTGCCCTTTACCAATCCAGCCACGGGCCCATCCATCTGGCCCATCAAGACTCACTCTCATTTCATCAGTCCATAAAACCTTAGAAAAATCAGTCTTGAGATATTTCTTGGCCCAGTCTTGACGTTTCAGCTTGTGTGTCTTGTTCAGTGGTGGTCGTCTTTCAGCCTTTCTTACCTTGGCCATGTCTCTGAGTATTGCACACCTTGTGCTTTTGGGCACTCCAGTGATGTTGCAGCTCTGAAATATGGCCAAACTGGTGGCAAGTGGCATCTTGGCAGCTGCACGCTTGACTTTTCTCAGTTCATGGGCAGTTATTTGGCGCCTTGGTTTTTCCACACGCTTCTTGCGACCCTGTTGACTATTTTGAATGAAACGCTTGATTGTTCGATGATCACGCTTCAGAAGCTTTGCAATTAGTGATGTGACGTTCTGTATCGAGGCTTCGAAGCTTGTGTCGAGTAATGGAGGGGGCGTTTCCGCGATGCGCGTATCGAGGCTTGCTTCATTTATGGGAGGAGCTGAAAATGATGACGTCCGAAGCCTCGCTGCCCGGCTGTACCACGTGACTGGTTCATGAAGTGGTTCGAACTTTGCCGCGAGATATGACAGCGATATAAACCCCTCAGACTTCATTCAAAATGTGGGTGTTTGATGGAGAGTTGCGGTTAGTGAGAGTTTGGAGACAGTTTGGAGGTTTATGAGAGTGAGGAGAGAAAGTCAGGAGAGAATGGAGCCAGCTAAGAAGAGGAGGATGTCCTCCCCTGTGTGGGAACATTTTGATCTTATTCCTCCCAACAAGGTATGTAAATTTCTACAGAAGATGTATTTTCATAATACTGATGGTGCAATAAAACTTATGTTAAGCTGTCTTACTTTTGTACAAGGTGAAGTGTTTGCTATGTGCCAGGGAGCTGGGATATAACAACAACACCTCATCCATGCTTAGGCACTACAGAGCTATGCATGAGAATAAGGGGAACACCGATTGTGGAGCAAGACCAGGTGAGCCATCAAATGCCATGATAATATAGCATGCTATAATGTTACTAAATGATATAACAATATCATACAATGCAATAAGTGACGTGAGTGATATTTATATTTGTGCTTTGTTTTTATTGTCTCTCCTCAGGAGAACAATCTCAAATAGATGAAGACCTGGTTAGCATGGTGATTGAGGACTCCCAGCCATTTAGCATTGTGGAGGACAAAGGATTCAAAAGATTTGTTAAATCATTAAATCCTAGCTATGTTCTCCCCACTAAAAAGGTCATAAAAGCAGTGAAAATTTAGTTTTTACAGAATAAAATGTGAACAGGCAGGACTGAGCCTCAGTGTGTAGCTGTCCATACCTCAACGTTACAAAAGCACAACCACTGTCCACACCCCAACCACACCTCACCTCACAGTAAATGATCATTTCCATTTTAAGCATTTCCAAATGATCATTTTCCATACTGCCAGTATAAATATACACAGTATACTGCCATCACTACAATATACATGTTTTACACACTCCTTTTGTTGTTGACATTTACAGGCTGTGTGCAAAAGGCCACACTCTTCAAATTCATGCCAACTAATATTTTTACGTCCAGTAGGTGTCCTACTAGAGCAAATGAAGCTTCAAGAAGCTTTGCGCTGGGGTGAACCAATTGGATGAAAAGCTTCAGTGCTTCATGAAGCTTTGCAATTTTGAGACTGCTGCATCCCTCTGCAAGATATCTCACTATTTTTGACTTTTCTGAGCCTGTCAAGTCCTTCTTTTGACCCATTTTGCCAAAGGAAAGGACGTTGCCTAATAATTATGCACACCTGATATAGGGTGTTGATGTCATTAGACCACACCCCTTCTCATTACAGAGATGCACATCACCTAATATGCTTAATTGGTAGTAGGCTTTCGAGCCTATACAGCTTGGAGTAAGACAACATGCATGAAGAGGATGATGTGGACAAAATACTCATTTGCCTAATAATTCTGCACTCCCTGTATATATATACTTTTTTTTCATTCCACTAAGATCCTCAGTTTGAATCCACTGGCTGACTTGGCATGCTTGCATCGCTGTCGTGTTGTACAAACCCTTCTGAGAGGATTTGAACTTTGTGACATACTGAATAAACATAGTACTAAACATAGTACTGCATAGTAAATAAACATAGTACTAAACATAGTACTGCATAGTAAATAAACATAGTACTGCAGATGGCCCTTTATGCAGTCAGTGTGTAAACAATGAACTAAGATAAACAGGAAATGTAAAACAATGCCCAAATCTCACCCCAGAAATGTAACTTTAATTACAGTAATTTAAAAAAAGGTGTACAGTAAACAAAATATAGTACTTCAGAGTTTCTGCTAGAAAACAGCAGCTTGCATTGGGGAACATAAGTCAACCCGAACAAAGAAAACAGCATAAAGTTGTATTTGTTCCTTGTTTCTTTCACACTTTGAATTTGCACATTTCAAAGTCTTAAGCAAGGCAAAGGGTGATCTGTATAAACAGTCTGCAGAATCTGTGGCACCAGAAACTTTTCTGGTACTTGGTGCATGCAGCAAGTCCGAATGAAGAATGAAAGACAAATGCACTAGTCAAAGTGCACTCTCAAAACAATCTGATGACATCATACCTCTTTAAAACCGACAATGTAGACTATGACCAGTGCATGGGACCCAAAGTTCTGGTCTGGATATCCAGCCACTACACTGCAAGCTCCAAAGTGTCGGCCGTTGCTCCAAGAGGTTCTTCAGACCCCAGAAATTCGGATTTCTCCACGAAAACAAACATGAATGTCAGTTTGATGTCCCCTGAAGTGATGGAAACATGGTTGTGTGGGTGTAAACAGCTGGGTTCACATCCATTAGTTTCTTTAACAGTTTTAAAACTTGGGGGTTGACTGGCGAAGTCTTTTCCTGTGTGAACTTCCCAGTCTCCTTTGACGGGAATTTGCCTTGTGGAACTTTGGTGCCTCTGTCGGGATTTATCCCAATCAATCGCCTGGAAAAAACAAATGTGTGGTCAGATCCAAAGTGACACAGGAACGGGTTCTTGCAAGCCTTTTAGCACAAAGACCTCAAATCACAAATTAACAGCTGGAAAATGTACTCATCTAACCTTTGAATGAATTCCAGTGTGCATGCAGCATCGTCTTGATACTGAAGATTGAAGATGTAGTAAGTAGAAAAGACAGCAGCGAGGCCGGACAGAAAAGTCGGCTGGATGCCCTCGCAAATGATGTGCCCCTCAAGACTGATCATCCAGCGGCGAATGGAGCTTTCCGGTGATTCGGCTTAAAATCCAAATAAAATCCCACCATTAGTACTGAAATGGTAATGAGCTTATTTATTCAATATACTTCTGCAGTGCAAATTTGTTAATAAACACACAGAACCATCAAGTACATCACTCATACCCTGTCAAGAACATTTAACATCTGTATCTGACCAGAATTTCGCAGTTAGGCATGAAAGGCATGCAGTTTGCATATAGAGCCAACAGGTCTGTAGACGACGCCATCAACATGGCCCTACACTACATCCTGCAGCATCTGGACTCCCCAGGAACCTACGCCAGGATCCTGTTTGTGGACTTCAGCTCTGCCTTCAACACCATCCTTCCAGACCATCTCCGAGGCAAGCTTTCCCAGATGAATGTGCCTGATCCCATCTGCCGGTGGATCACTGACTTCCTGACGGACAGGAAGCAGCACGTGAGGCTGGGAAAGAATGTCTCGGACTCCCGGACCATCAGCACTGGCTCCCCTCAGGGCTGTGTTCTTTCTCCTCTGCTCTTCTCCCTGTACACCAACTGCTGCACCTCCACCCACCAGTCTGTCAAGCTAATCAAGTTCGCAGATGACACCACCGTCATTGGGCTCATCTCGGACGGGGACGAGTCTGCCTACAGGAGGGAGGTTGAACGTCTGGTGACCTGGTGCAGCCACAACAGTGGAGATTATTGTGGACTTCAGGAAGCACATAGCCCCACTCCCCCCCATCATCCTGACTGACACCCCCATCACCTCTGTGGACTCATTCCGCTTCCTGGGTACCACCATCACCCAGGACTTGAAGTGGGAGCCCACCATCACCTCCGTCATCAAGAAAGCCCAGCAGAGGATGTACTTCCTGAGGCAGCTGAAGAAATTCAACCTGCCAACACGGACGATGATGCAGTTCTACACTGCAATCATCGAGTCCATCCTCACCTCCTCCATCACCGTGTGGTACGCTGGAGCCACTATCAGGGACAAACAGAGACTGCAGCGTGTTGTGCGCTCTGCTGAGAAGGTGATTGGCTGCAAACTCCCATCTCTGCAGGACCTGTACACCTCCAGGACACTGCGGCGTGCAGCCCGGATCTCAGCTGACCCTTCTCACCCTGGACACAGTCTGTTTGACCTGCTCCCCTCAGGCAGGAGGCTCCGGTCCATTCGCACCAGAACCTCTCGCCATAAGAACAGTTTCTTCCCCTCTGCTGTTGGACACATGAACAATAACCACATGACTGTCCCCGCCACTAACACATGACCCTACGCTGTGTCACTGCATCATTTCATGTTTGGCACTGATCACCACTCTCGCCATAAGAACAGTTTCTTCCCCTCTGCTGTTGGACACATGAACAATAACCATATGACTGTTCCCACCACTAACACATGACCCTACGCTGTGTCACTGCATCATTCCATGTTTGGCACTGATCACCACCTGCACTCATGTATATATCTTTCTACGTAGCACTCATAATTCTTATTCTCATGTATATATCTCATGTATATCTCATGCACATATCTTTCTTTCTACATAGCACTTTAATTCTTATTGTTTGCACTGAAGCACCGCAGCAATTTCCTAATGTTGTAAACCTCAACATCTGGCAATAAACCCCATTCTGATTCTGATTCTGATTCTGAAATAAAGCTGTAGATTTTCCAGTCACACAGCGTGACTTCAGCTTCCGGAGTCGCGCCCATAAAATAAAATTTTAATATGCCGATGATTGTGTAGTGTATACGACTCGGCAATATATAAAACATTGTTCGTGTTGACTGAACATATATTTACAGGGAACTTTGGGCATACAACTTGCAAAAGCAAGCTAGATAAGCTTTGTTTTTGTGTTGTGTTTGTTTTCTTTGGGGTGCTGAAGAGTAGCTTGTTGCAGAAGCTGTTTTTAAAGACATGATTTTCTTCTAATTTATTGACTTTGACAATTTTTTGATTTGCAAGTTATACAAAGTCTCCTGTGTTTTTTTCATCATAATAAAATAGAAAATGGAAATGGAGAATCTTCACCACTTGAAGGTGCTAAAACTTCTACTCCCCAGACAGAGTCCTCCAATATCAGAGGAGCTATGGAGAAAATTATGAGCTGTGGTCTTCCAGTGATCATCATATTGAATGTGAGTTGTGCCACATTTATGCTTTACAGCAGACAAACAGGTGAGGGTAACATTTTCTAATTCAAGATCAGGAACAACCTGCAATCTGTGAAGGTGCCAAAAAACGTCAGCATGACTCTGCCTTTTGTTTTAAGCTTCAGTCTCTGGAGACCTGTTGGTGACTTCCTAACTGGATGACGATTACTGCAGTTTGCATGGAAAATGTGCAAAAGAGACAAGGCAAGTGAAAGAAGCGAACAGTGAAACCGGGTGAAAAATATGGGGGGGAAAGGCAACCGGTAATTAAAATTTGACCTCCTCTAGGGAGATGTTGTCTACCGAAGACTCATTAACTCATCTCGGTTTAAGTTGAACTAAATTTCTTGTGACTTTTAGCATTTGGCAACGGGTGAAAGTTCACTGTTGTAACAGGATTCTTGGGTAATAAGATAAATCTTTGTTATGACATTATAAGTCCTGAGTTATGAAATTATAGTGAGGCTATTTTTCTTCTCAAGAAGCACTTAATGCTTAACGCTGTTGGCTTTTGCAATCATAACAACAAAAAATAAATATGTATGTCATACCGAGGAGTATCAGTCGAGGAGTTGCAGGTAGTTGGAGTGTCGTCTGTAATTCAGCTGCTGTGGCATTTGCCTAGGACACAGAGTTATGACTAAATTAATCAACAAAAACATGAAACAAATAAAACTGCTGTCTTCCCCAATAACAGAGACAACAGATACAGGTGTCACCTTTGAAGAAATCAAAAACCCTAAAATAACTCACATTTGCAAAAAGAATCAGTCCTCCGAGGGATTCGGAGAAGTGAGCCATCAGAAGTTGCAGGATGCAGAAGGATAGTTCAAGTTTTGGACCCACTGAGAGGATGGATTGGATATCTGGATTAGTGGACTTGCTGAAGACCTCCAGGATGGTTGGTCCACACTCCTCCATTGCAACCTCGAGAGTGCGAAGCACTTTGATATCAGTGAGCAGCTCAAAATGAGTATAAAGTCCATTGTGTGTGAAAAGATAAGGCCATCGGCCCCTTAAATCTCTAATAGCCGGTACTGGGAGTGCATTTATTTGGCGGCGCTGCAGGTAGAAGGTTACTTTCATGAGTTCTTTTACTTCGTCTTTTTCTACCATGCTTGAGCCATCCTGATGGTAAATTTCTTCCAGTCGCTGGCGTTTTCGCTCCACTGTTTCATTTGTCTCCTCCGGCAGCAGGCCAGGCTCAAATCTGGCGCAGCCATAATTGTTGGTGGATCCTCTTTTCATTCCAGACAAACGGCTGTGGCGAAAGTTGCTGGTCCGTTTCAGGTTATCAATTCGGTTTTTGATTTGAATCACAAGCGAGATGTAATCCTCTTCCAGCAGCTGACCGTTGTCACACAGATCAGCAAAGCTCTGAGGGTACTTACGGACAATGTTTCGGCAGATGGTTACACACTGAGCACGTGTTGGGTTTAGCTCGTGTTTCCTCATCTCATCTGCTAAAATTCTAACCATCTGTCTCCTTGCTGCAGGGGATGGTCTCTTGCCCTCAGCAACCGCTGCTTGAATTTCCATTGGCATGAGGTCCCAGGGCACCTGGAACGTCTCTGCCCACTGTTTTCTGAAAAGGGTGGTTTGCCCGCAGCTTTCTGAGTTGTCATGTTCTTGATTCGAGAGTGGGAGTACACCAGATGAAGTGGAGCAAGGTGACGCTGCAGGACTGCTGAGCAGTGAGCTAGAGGAAGGAATCACTGGCAGGTCCAAAGTAACCAGGTCTGTCTCTGAAAAGGAAAGGGGAAAAAACACACAGTGAGCTCAATTGTCTCTTATCAAGGGTGAGCTTAAAATAAGTTTAACTATAATTTTTTTAAATTTGCGACGTTCCCCGTGCGCCCTACTCCACATATCTCCTCCTATGTAAATTCTAAATCCACATCTCTTTTCTTGAGTTTATGGATCTAAGGTTTCAGAAAACATGACCTTACATGGAGTTAAATTTAACTGAATGAATCAATCCAAGGATATTTAAGTAGAGCTATTCCGGCTGTTCCCAGTACAGTATTCAACCTGTGTCCGTAACGAAGACAATCCTAAGCCTTTATAGCAACAGAATATGAAAAAATACACAAAATCTCACCAGAAGGTTCTGATTTTCCCCAGGATCTGAGGCTCCATAGACATAATGAATCCCCCTTAACTGTTTTTTTTTTTAACGGAGTAGCACCTCCATCCAGATAGATACCCCTCTGAATAGCCAAGTTACTCATTATATCTCTAAGGCCTTGGTCAGAAAGACCTAGACATCTATCTAACAGTCAACAGGGTGGTTGCCAATAGTCTCTGGAAGTCGCTGGCAGTCGCTGTGAAAAGCTCCCTCAGCCACAGAGGGTCACCACACAGGTAGTTGATGTTTTATTTGGCAGATTTTTCATCCTGATCCTATTCCTGGAGCTCCCAAGGGATTTGTGTCTCTTTCTGGGATTGAATCAAGGATCGTTTGCTTGTTAGATAAATGTCTAAGCACTACTAAAGACCCATTCATGCAGGTCCGGTTCAGACTGCTGCCCCTGATGTGAACCCAGATAAACATCACATAATGGATGGCTCAAGAGCTGCATCATATTAAAAGGTTTTGGTAAAAAACACAGACACTTGGCTGTAGCACTCAGTGGGGAAACCAGCAGTGTTAGAATGACAAAATAAGTTAACAGAAGCAAAAAAACAGTTTTAAAAACTTTCAGTACAATTTTACCATTTCGCTGTACTGACGGATTTAGTGTTC